TAATTCTGCTATAACGATTGGAGTGGGAGAAAAGTCACTATGATTACCCCTGCCGAAGGTCCCAAAACAAATCTACGGTAACCTGCATTCTTTCTCTGTTTTATTTTCTTGATTTTCTATTGTTTAAAGCAATGTTTTCATAATCAGAAGTTTAAAAGTATTGCGAAAATCAAACATGTGTCTTTTGCGTTAAACATTCGAGCTCTTGTGCTTTCAATCTGTGCTATTATGATGCGATTTTGACTATTTTCACCTACCAACTTCGTCCATTATCACATTTTTATTCTCATATTTTTTTCAAAACAAGAGTAGTCACTATACCGTTAAGATTTTGGGAAATGTGTTGTTAGAAAATGTTTCGAAATCAGCATACTGCATTTACCGTGGTGCAGCACTTGAAGAACGCCGAAAAACTGGACTTCAGGAAATTGAGGTTAGGAAAAATGGAGAACGTGTTCAGAAAACAGTTCAATTTGAAAATACCTCAAAACCTACATTAGAAAAATTTCCACTATTTTAAGTTTGAGCTTATCTCGATTCCTATGCAAGATATTTGAAAATGGTGTAAATTGTTAGAATGTTTTTGATATTATGATAAATTATCAATTGACGACATTGTGATATCTTTGACAGAAACCAAAAAAAAAGGTTCAATACTTAAAGTCAAGGGGGCTTTCTATTCCTGGTTTTACGGTGGATGCGTTTCTGAAAATGTTGTCTTCGTATCAAACAAAATATAATATTTCTTGAAACGTTTGCAAGATAGGAAATTTGTGTTTAAACCGTATAATGTATTTTTCTGGTCTTGAAAACATTTTATTGGTCCGAAATATCTAATATTCGAACTAAATACAGACTGAACCATCACGAAAAAACCACAACAAATTATTAACGGACATTTGAATTCATTCAAAAAGCTGATCCGGAAAACCAGATTCGGAAATCCGGATTCCGGAATACAGAATCCGGAGTGCGATTTTCCAAATTCAGTACACACAATCCAGTACACATAATCCAAAATCTAAAAACCGTGATCCAGAAATTTGGATCCGGAAACTCGGATTCCGGAATTCGGAAATACGGAAATGCGACATTTGAAATACGGTATTCAGTAAACCTGCATTAGGATCTCAGTGTATGGGGGACAGAATCTCAATATTCTTGAAATTCAGGCCTTCAAATAGGTGGCCGGAGAGCTCAAAATCTTCTAAAATCTCACTTTTTCAGAGTGAAAGCATCATTTTGTGGATCGGCCAAAACGTGATTTTCGGAATTTTTCCGGTTTGTCGTTTCCGGGTCACGTTGATGGCTCCAAACTATTTGTACGTAGGTTTTGAAGGGAGACCTTTATTTTTCATGTTGACACCTTTTCACAAACATTGACCTAAATAGGTGTTTCAGTGCAAGCGAAGGGTGCAAGCATCATTTTGTGGAGCACTGTATATATTAGTGGATAGTGAATCAAGGGGAACTGTATATAGACTTGTTTCAAATTCTGATATCGAAGCAAGTTAGTCTTTCAAACTTTTGTTGATTGTCATTGGGCGCCTTGACAATTACTCTGGTCTAAAAAATGTTCTTGCTTTCTGACTGACTGTGATCGTTTCTTGGGAAGTAGCTATACCCAGTTCCATGCTCTCGAGAAAACTCGGATTATTTCAGGCATTGAAATTTGGTTTCAGATGTTGAAGTATGGTTTGCCGTTAATAATTTGTTGTGGTTTTTTCGTGATGGTTCAGTCTGTATTTTGTTTCATTACCTTGTTTCTACATTTTGTGGGAAAAATTATCAATATCATTTGTTCGTGATCTTGTTTCTGAAAGGAACGTTTTTTGAAAAGATTTGCTTTTCATTCTTTGTTTATGTGTTTGTTTTGAGAATCATGTGGATCTATTTTGTTGTGCTTTTTTGATAAGATATCAGTGGGCATTGATACATTTTCTAGATAGTGTGCTGGGTTGAATAAACGATATGTGTAATTTTGATCAGACACGATCGGCAGGTTTACGGTGATTGTGTTCTCTGAGTGATCTGGTTCCAAATGGAATACTTTTATTGAATTTGCTAGGTTAATGATAATTTTGAGACGTAGCTACGTTTGTTGCTTAGTTCTTGAAGTATCGAGTTTGACAAACTCAAAAGATGGTTCAATAGTTGACTCGTAGCAAAAATTGCTTCAATGAGTCGTTGTTGATCAATTGTTAGAGCTTTTCTCGTTTCAAACAGATTGATTTCATGTGGCGTAAACACTATGTTGTGTGTAATGTGTATATTCCAGGCAATGATATACCTATGGGCAGAATCTTTGGAAACAGCGACGGTTTCCTTACACATAAAGACCGACATTTCCTACTGCCGTACGTACGACAGTGTATAAATGACCTTATTTAGCTGTTTAAAGGGAACTGGTGGGTGGAAAATGTCGAAGTAGAACTTCTTTTCGAACAAATGAGGATTGTCTTTGGGCCCTTGACAATCCTTTTTGGTCTGAAGGCGTTTCTCACTTTCTGCATATTTACTGAGCATGTTACTGGATAATAGCTATCGTTAGTTCCTTCGGATAGTATACCAGAACCAGCAATGCACTAATAAAGAATTAGTCAGCATACTGTAGTTAAAAGACTCATCTGAGGCTCTGCGTAACTACTTTTGTTTTGTTCTGTTTTTGTGGTGGTTCAGTATATTGTGGATTTGTGTTGCTATCCTTGTGTGGCATTAATCTATTATTGCTTTTAGATCATCTGGTGTGATGAATTTGTGAGTGAGAATTTTCGTTTGAACCTTATTGCCTTGATGAAGCTCTGCGGTTGTTTGTATGTCTCGAGACTAATTGATTGAATTCCTTGCCACCAATGGGTTGCCACGACGTTGTGTACCGTGGAATCCGGACGATGCACTATGTTCCGGCACATAGGGGTGGTGGTCCCTGTGCCAGAATTAAGTACAAGGAATATCAACCAATAGTTTATTCGAGTTTAAATGAGAGTTCAAATAATCCCTTCTTGTTGTCGGAACCAAGGAGCTTCTGGATGATGGAGGAGCCTTCTTCGTTGGTTGCAGAGATCCGGCATCGGGAACTGCTGTTGGAGCAATGAAGTTGAGCGGCAATTGGGGAGAGTGATTATTCTGATTTGCTTGTCGATGCCTTTTCCTTATATAGCCTTCCGAGAGGGAGGAGTTGGTGACGTGGAGGTCGTGGAGGTCAGGGCAGATTGGAAGATAGCAATAGATTTATCACGTTGGAATTCACGGGAATAGACTATTGGTTGTATGATTTTATATAATTTTACTGTGTGAGACGAATGACGTCTATCTAGAGGTGTTTCTAGGTTGTAGTCGTGCCGTAGTGGATCTGCTACCGCGACAAGCCGCGCCGCTCCTAGCACACTAAAAATTTCTGACGCAAGATTTCAGTTTCTGGAAGCCGCGGTGGAAAAAAATGACACCATTTTTAGGGGCATACAGAATACTTGTTCAAATTTTAAATGAAATTTTCACCCCTTTTTTTTAAACACTTCAATCGTGAGGAAAATCGGTTAAGAGAAAATAATTCCGAAGTTCTATATCAAAGGCACATAAATTTATCCGTAGAACCACACGATGCGCCTTTGAAGGACTTTTTGGCCACACTGTGCATCGGGACAAGACGCGGCCACGTTGGCCACGTTGTAGCCGTTTTAGCAAGGCAACACGGCCACGTTGCAAGGGAGGACTCGATGACCCTCACGCACCGTTACTCACCACCACACACCCTCACACACCTCACCAAGCACACCAACCTCTCTCTTTTACGTTATCTCTCACCTTTTTCTTTGACGTGGCACACCATCACGCACGATGACCCACCTCTTTCTTTAACATTATTATTGATCCTTTGTCCTTCCCGTTTATTTTTTCTTCTTCCTACAGCGATGGTCCGACCAGCTCTCTTTTTTTCCTTTCGCCATCTTTGTTCTTTTCGGTTTTTTCCTCTGTTTTTTTCTCATTTTCCTTTCACTTTACATTTGATTCCCAAAATTGTTTACTTTACAGGTCAACTAAAATTCAACTTTTTGACGAAAAGTAACTGACACCTCAATTTCGCTCTCACTTCGCTACGAGCCGACGTATTCATTCTCAACGAAATGTAAGTCTTAAATGTGGTTTTACTTCATTTATTCATTCATTTATGACGTGCAGTACCAGTAAATACGATCTATAAATAAAATGCTTTTCAGCTGATTTTTGGCATTTTCAGGAGTCTGGAGCTCGGCTGAAAAGTTTCCAATCATATTGAAAACTTGAAAAGGTGCGAAAAAGATCTAGAGAGAAAACTTGGAATTTACAGAAAATTTTAAAAAAAACCTAGTTCATCAACTATTTTCTGAGTTCAAAAGGAAACCCGGTCCGTTTTGATATTGAAAACGTGGAAAAACAGGTGTTTTCCAGAAACCTGAATAACTAGGAACTTTCGAAAACTTCTGTGAACGCAAATGTTTTAAATTTAACTCTTTTTCATACCCTCCGAAAATGTCAAAATGAGCGGAAACTTGGCTGCCGAGCTCCAGAATCCTGAAAATGATAAAAATAAAAATAGAAATCACCTGAAAAACAGTTTCGTACATCTTAATTACCGCTACTGTATATGAATTACGTAAAACGTCAGACAAAAGAACAAAACGTTCCGTTCTCCACAAGTTATAACCATCACATCAATTTTCTCATTTTTTTCATTTACGTGCAAGTTAGAGATCTTTGAACATGGAATCATAGTGACAAGATCGAGAAAAGTTTTGTTTTCAATATATTTTTTTTGTTTTACAGGAGCTACATTCCTAATGGTACGATTCTCAACGAAAGATTCGTGATCGAAAGACAGCTCGGAGCCTGGTATGGCGAACGCTGTTATCATGGGAGAGACTCGCAAAATAACAAGCAAATTGTTCTCAAAGCATTTCTCCCGGCGGACCCTCGTATCCAAGCGTACGTTGATTTCTTCAAAGAATGCTCCGGAATGCAAGGAATTCCAACATTTCTCGCACACTTCTCATCATATGAAAGTGAATTCATTGGTTGGGATATTCTTCTTTTTTTCTTATTCAAAAAGATTTTTCCAGCTCATGAGTACAATGGCGTTTTGCTTCGAGGGATTCTGAACGCTCGAATGTTCCATATTTCGTTGGAAAATACGATTCGCCTCGGGTATCGCTTATTCAAGATCTTGCACGCCATCCATCTGAAAGGCTATGTCCACAAAAACATTCAACCTTTGTCAATCACGTGCGATGTTGGTCCGGATGGGGTGAGTAAAATTTTTTTCAAAATGCAAAATTCAAAATCAGAAATGATTCGTTTAATTTTTATTAGTTCCATTCACTTGTCATGAAACTATACCGTTGTTCATTGTCATCAAGAGAAAATTATTTCAGGAACTCGTTGTGAACCTGACTTACTTTGGCCACGCCGCCCTTATCGATGAGCCACCATCCAACAACAAAATTATCCTCGGACCCTATCAAAGTCTCCATGTTTCCCGCGGGGGAGCATACAGCAGAATCGACGATTACATATCCGTCGTCCTCGTCATGCTGTCATGCCAAACGATCAACCCCTTCGATTTCAACATAAATAGGGATTTGACACACGTTCAGAAAAATGATAATTTCGTGAGTTATTAAAAGTGGGAGGGGGAATGAGAAATAAAAATGTTCTCGAAATTCCATTTAAACATGCCCCTCGAAGAGTTGAACTTGTCGGTGCGAGTATTGAAAGTTCGACGCCGCAGAACGATAGCTTTACGCAGTGTGGAATTGAGCATTTTAGACCGTTACTGTAGAATGCACACCCGAACTTCAAGAATCCTTCGAAAAATCTCTTGTCCCCGCCACCTCTAAGATAATAACTTTCGTGACTCCATTCATTTTTCAGCATGCAAATCCCTATGCAGTACTCACACCACAAACCATGTGGCTCGGCGATTTGTACTTGCAACTTGAAGAGATGCGTGCTGACCGATTGAGCCATCTGCAAGTTATGGCCGCCCTTCGTCGAGCCGTCCCTGGATTTGATCCCCAAACGGCAATCACCTATCCTAACGATGTCGAAAGTGTTTACCACCTTATCGACTAAAATACACAGAACGTTATTTTTGTGTCCTCTTCCCGAACTTGCCTCTCTTCATCATTCCATTGGTATTTTACCAATTGTTGTCATTTCAAAAAATCCCTGCTTGTTCAAATAATCTTTTGATCGCTTTTCACAGCTGCCCACTTCTATTAAGTTTTTTCCCGATATACTCAAATTTAACCGGTTCTTCAAGCGTTTTCTCATTTTTCTCAATCCCCTGATCTCACCTCTAGAATGAGCAGTTGTGATTTTCGAAATCTCTTTCTACGAGCGTATCCGGTAGCAATTTCCCCGAAATTCCAATTTTTTATTGATGACAATAGTTTTTTGTGTTTCATTGCTTTTCTCAAACACCTCGATAGTGTTAAATGCGTTTTTGTACTATAAAAATTCCCCCAACCATCGTCAATATATTGTGAAGTTCAATTTGCGGAAGGTTTCGTCAATAATGTTTTTAAGAGAGAAACAATTTTGAAAAATATCACCGAATCAACTTATCGTGATAAGCACTAAACTCATACTATTTGTGCCTTCAATAACAGCACAGCTTGGCACATTTTTTCTTGATTGGTAACAGAAAGTGGGATCTGAGCTCATTTTGAGTTCAAATACTAGATATTACGGACCAATAAAATGTTTTCAAGACCAGAAAAATACATTATACGGTTTAAACACAAATTTCCTATCTTGCAAACGTTTCAAGAAATATTATATTTTGTTTGATACGAAGACAACATTTTCAGAAACGCATCCACCGTGAAACCAGGAATAGAAAGCCCCTTTGACTTTAAGCATTGAACCTTTTTTTTGGTTTCTGTCAAAGATATCACAATGTCGTCAATTGATAATTTATCATAATATCAAAAACATTCTAACAATTTACACCATTTTCAAATATCTTGCATAGGAATCGAGATAAGCTCAAACTTAAAATAGTGGAAATATATAGGTTTTGTTTTTCTAATATAGGTTTTGAGGTATTTTCAAATTGAACTGTTTTCTGAACACGTTCTCCATTTTTCCTAACCTCAATTTCCTGAAGTCCAGTTTTTCGGCGTTCTTCAAGTGCTGCACCACGGTAAATGCAGTATGCTGATTTCGAAACATTTTCTAACAACACATTTCCCAAAATCTTAACGGTATAGTGACTACTCTTGTTTTGAAAAAAATATGAGAATAAAAATGTGATAATGGACGAAGTTGGTAGGTGAAAATAGTCAAAATCGCATCATAATAGCACAGATTGAAAGCACAAGAGCTCGAATGTTTAACGCAAAAGACACATGTTTGATTTTCGCAATACTTTTAAACTTCTGATTATGAAAACATTGCTTTAAACAATAGAAAATCAAGAAAATAAAACAGAGAAAGAATGCAGGTTACCGTAGATTTGTTTTGGGACCTTCGGCAGGGGTAATCATAGTGACTTTTCTCCCACTCCAATCGTTATAGCAGAATTAAAAGTATATCCTTCAAAAAGAATAATCTACAAACGGTTTACATCTTCACCAGGCAGGGAATTTTTGATTCCATGGGTTGCAATGTCAATATTTAAACGGACAGTGCTTCAAAATTTATTAAGAAATCAAAACAAGTTTTTCTCCAATGTTCACATTCCTGGAAGATTATTGTAGAGCTTGTTGCATCCACTGGTGACGAATTCTTGAGTCTTGGTTGGAGTGGTTTTCAAACAACATCTGAATCCGTTTCCAGTCATACACGATCCATCGTAGACAGCAGCACAGTTATGAACACAAAGGTTGTAGCAGGTTTGGTTGGTGGCAAGGGCATAGCTGTTCCATGGAGCACAGTTGTCATAAGAAGCTGCTCCTTGGACAGAAGAACAGTACTGCTGGCAGATGACCAAGGTGACAGAGGCAGCAGTTGAGAAGAGACAGAAGGCAAGGAGGATACGGAACATCTGAAATTCGGGTCGAATTGAAAAGCCATCTGAGGGATGGGAGTGACTTACCATGTTGAATGTGGTCAGACGAACTGATGAGGACTGACTCCCTAGAGCTTTTTTTAAACTGATTCCTGAATTGTGTGGGTGTTTCTATATTTCCTACTATGCCGTATTCAACAGTGCTGTATTTTTCTCTAAATGTGAGAGATCTACATATGGCCATTGAGAAGGATTCCGAGCATTGAAGTTCTATGAATCTGCTCTAATACCACCTACCCTCCGAAGGGACACCCACACATTAAGAGCGGATGCCATGAACATAATGAAATTCACTGTGTTGAAATTGGATTTTCATGACATTTTGTCCCTGATCTTTTTATAAAACATGCTCGGCAAAAATTCGAATTATATTGACATTTTGATGCACATGGCACCGAACGGCTTCCAAAGCGAAAATTGACATCAGAAACTTTTTTGACACCCACACCTACCCCATTCACATAAAGTTATGATACGGATCTTTTTTGAATTTTCCGACACATTTTCCGTACACCCACACTTTTTTATTTCATACATGAAACTTTTTTGCTTTCTTTTTGGCACATTTTGTGGGAGGAATTGCGTTGGCGTCGCTCTGGTTATGTTGCAAACTACCAGTCAGAAACCGAACAATAGTTTCCCATGTTGAACGATGAGAAGATAATTGAATATGCCTATTGTTACAAAGCCAATCCAAATTTTGACAGTCATGAGAGATCACTGGAAAAAGGAGATTTTTTCATGAGTAGTAAACTATTTCATAACGAAAGGATATATGTTTTCTAAAAAGGTCGTCGTCGAATCACTCGCAAACACAAAACGGAGCTTTCGAGCAACGAAATCGTATGACTCGATAAAATTCCCTCCGTTTGTGGCAAGAACAAAATGCGGAGGTGTTTATGCATATCCATTGAAACTCAATGTTAGGAAGCTCGGAATGCACATAGATCTGGTACAGATTCAAATTGGTTTGCAAACACATACATACAAACACCCACACAATTCAGGATTCAGTTTAAAAAGAGCTCCAGAGAGTCAATTCTCATCAGTTCTTCTGACACAATTTATATGGTAAGTCACTTTTCTTTCAGCTGCATTTGAATTTTTGTCCGATTTTCAGATGTTCCGCATCCTTCTCGCTTTGTGCTTCTTCTCCACTGCTGCCTCTGTCACTTTGGTCATCTGCCAACAGTACTGTTCCTCTGTCCAGGGAGCAGCTTCTTATGACAACTGTGCTCCATGGAACAGCTATGCCCTAGCCACCAACCAAACCTGCTACAACCTTTGTGTTCATAACTGTGCTGCTGTCTACGATGGATCGTGTATGACTGGAAACGGATTCAGATGTTGTTTGAAGACTACACCAACCAAGACTCAGGAATTCGTCACCAGTGGATGCAACAAGCTCTACAATAATCTTCCAGGAATGTAATTCTTATCAACAGAAGGGATATTAATTTTTCATAAAATATTTATTGCAAATTTTAGATATTTTTTCTTCGCCGAAGAAATTGTAAGAAAAACGTTTCCCGTTTTTTGGTTTTCCTGTTCTCAGCCGTAATTTCGATTTTCAAAATTTTGGGATTTTTCAATTTTAAAAATTCGGAATTTCGAATAATCCAATTTCGAAATTTTCGGGATTTCGTAATTTTCAGAATTTTTGGAAATTCAATTTCAAAGCCGAAATTCTATTTTTCATCACAAAGACGGTAAAAAGTCTGAAGTTGCCAGAAAAAATTTAAAAAACGCTGAAAACTTAGAGAAAATTTTCCCGCAAGCAATTTTTCGCAACGTACGTCCAGATGTCACTATTTTCGAAAAAAAAGCTTCAGAAATATTCCGGTCGGAATTTCATTCAGAAAAAATCTTTCGGAAATATTTCGACCGGATTTTTATTATTTTTGCAATACTCTAGGATCTTTTCGAAACTTTTGGTTTCACAAAGCATCTTGATATTTGTAACCACCACCAAAAAATGTACGAAACCACATCACAAGAATTTTAATTTGAACTTTTCGGGCAGCAGCAATATTCCATGACTCGGCTGAAACAAGGTTCAAAAATTTTCTTCAACATTTACATAGAAAATTGGCAATTAAAATTGTGTTGATCAAAACGAAAATCACAAAATTTGTTCTCGTCTCCACTAAAACAGGTCAGAATAGATTTCAAGCAACTATCATGTCGAGAGACAACTAAACCGATCATCCTGGTGGAGATAAGAATTTCTCAGAGAGTACATATTAAAAACACTTACCTGGTTCAACAATATTGCTGAATTTCTCGCTGTTCTTCAGTTCTCAATTTGGGAGTTCACAATTCAAAACAAGCACTAACACTGGCATGAATAAACTAAAAGTTCAAAAAATTCTGATTGGCCAGATAGGAGAACTCACAGCATCGGATCTTATCCGACGCATCACTGCAACCATCATTTCTCGCGCAATCCAATGTCGCATTTACACATTCTTCGTTGAAACTTCGAACTGATACGATCCACAATCCAATGATCCCGATAAGCTGCAGCACATTGACAATTTCTCTTTTAAAAAGTTGGTTGGTTCACAATCACTGATTGCATTGAGCCATTCTGCATTAACTGGATGTCTCGTCAGAGTTCTCACAATCGTTGTGACCAACGCACATGAATTAAAGCGGGATGCATATAGAGTTGGCACATTCGAGCTCATTGTAGAGCATGTTTGGCAGAACTGAAAAAAGGAAGACACATTTCTTGAACTTCGGTATAATGCACTCACCACATCGCCACAATGCATTTTGGCTATTTTTCTTTTAATAGTTCTTCGTGTCGCACATCCAACATCTCGGAATGCATTTTTCAGTGGTGACAAATCGGAACCCACAAACATCGTCCCAAGTCGTATAGCGTTGTTTGTCTATGTCGGATGTGTCAGTACAATTGTTTTGTACGTTAAAAAACGATTAGTGGAGAATGCGTCGGTAGGAGGATGAGCAACGAGTTCATTTCTCCTTGCATTCAAATTGAGCAGGTTTTGGTCTGGTGACATAATCAGCATGGTTCGATCTATCTTTACAATTGCACACTTTGAAATCAACGTATCACAATCCTCATCGTTATCCTCATCGTTGGCCTTTACAGCTATGTATATATTGGTTCCAAACCCATGTAACGATTGTTTGACAAGATGAGAATCATCACCAAGCCTGCCGTTAACAGCTTTTCCATATGCTCGGCAATCTTTACTATAAACCCTTGGTGTTCAGGCAGAGTTGAAAATAGATTTTGTTTTCAGCCTGCTCATCGTTACCGATACGTTTCTTGGGACTTTCTTGGTCGGGACGGAGTCCATCACGGCAGTGACAACAAGATCCGCTGCGGACGTCAGTGCAGCTTTGCATGCAGTCCTTTCCGAATGCTTCGCAGGATCCACCTAACGACTACATTATTTTCGTAATCCAGATGACATCTGCATAAATCTCTTAGTGTTTAGACAAAGTAGAGAGCGAATGTTGTTTCCAGCATGGCAATAGAATCCGTCGCGAACGTCAGTGCAGCCGTCTTAGTATCCGAATGCTTCGCAGAAAGTGTTGCCTCCGTGTTTGGCTGAAAATCCGAAATGTTTCTATTAACCAGATTAAGGAGTTAGTCGGAAATTTTTGATTCAGATTTTCACTGATATATGGTTTTCTATGGTACACGTTTGGTCTGAATAAAAAAGTTTATGAAAGATTAAAATAGTTAACAATTTTTGTGTTTCGAAAAAATGTGAACTTACAACATCCTATCTCATCCGGCGCAACAGCGGAACAATTCTTCATCTCACTTGTCACATGTCATCTCACACGCTGCTTTCACACATTTTCCATTTGAACACTTGAACTGATCCGATCCACAATCCAATAATTCTGAGAAGCTGGAGTTGACGATTCATCCGAGAAATCTATTTGTCCATTGATATCATTGCATAGAATCGTTGATATCATTACATAGTTGAAGAAAGTTCAAGTAGAAATAAGAATGAACGCAACGAAAACAAAGTGCAGAATCGATAAGAACCATTATGTCTTTTGTGGATGTCTCGTCAGAATCGCCGCCGTAATCATTGACTCGATTTCACATGATTTACACGGGATGCACACAGAGTTGGCATATTCAAACTCGAATTGATAGCACGCTTGGCGGGACTGAAAATACGAAAATATATTCTCTAATCTCTTTGAATAATGAACTCACCACATCTTTTTGAATCAATTCATCAGCTACATTTAGACAGCCTTTCTTCCAGCAATGCATGTTCCCTCATCCCACTGCCCATGATCAGCAATACATCTCCAAAGGGTGTATTGAGATTCATAGAATCCATCGCTATATTGTACGGTTCCATTTTTTCTTCACAAAATGCCTTCAGCTCATCAAATTATCTCAGCCGTCAAATCACAATTTTATTTGGACACGATAATGTGTATCGATCTCAACCAGCTTCGAACAGCGATAGATGCAAACATCCTGTGTTGTTGTCTCCAAATGGGCTTGGTAAGGTGGTTGTTTCATCAGATGCACAATCTCAATTCATTTGGAAGATCACCATGATTCCATCGAAATCCATGAATCCGATCTCATTCAGATGATGAATGGTCTCCTCATAAGAGTCAACTGTCGTACTTTTTGCATCTCTCGACATATCCACCATTGCCAACTTGTATCACTCTCTTTCTCCACTTCTCAACTTGATTCTGAAAAAGAATTGATATTGGTGGAAGCAGCAACAAAACCGTACAAACCCTCCAACAATGTGCCAGACCATATCGAGATTTTGATGGATAACGCAGTGAAGATCAGCATCCAAGTCTCCAAAAGTCCAAATCATCGTCAGTAATAGAAAACTTCTTAATTCTAACATCCGTGAGAGAGTTTCACCAGAGATCCATCTGGCGGAGATTGAAATATTGAGAAGCAAGCTTTAATCAGCTTTTTGCAAGTGTGTAGAAGGATTTTTCTTTATTTGTGCGACGATAATCCACTCCAACTGATTAGAAGCGTGTTGTTCCGCTCGGATATCCGCACCATTGTTTTCGTGTTGTCTTGTGGAAGAAGGGCCACTGGAAATTTTTCATCTCCCAATTTTTCAGATTACCACAAGTGCAAGTTCCCTTCCACTTTCCCATTCCGATCTACAATTTAATTAATATTTGATTAAGCAGTAATGAACTTCTCGCAAACCTTAAATGATGAGCCAGGCCTCTTTGACCAATTACGTGCTGTCCGGCGAAAATACTCGAATCGTCGGCTCCAATTGATCTATACGTACTTTTTATGTACACCTCGATATTATCATGTCTTGGCGGTAATCGTCACGTTTTCTTTCAGTTGTGAGAACCTTCTTGCATTTCGACTACCAGAATTCGAATCCTTGTCAGTCCAATCATGGCCAACGCCAGACTTCATATCTTCTTAATCCTTTACGCTGTGATTTCTGGAATTGAGATTTTTTGATTTTTTATAACATCATGGAACGTCACAACCAAAGACTCACTGTTTTTTTAGTGCCAGTAGTTGACAGATCCATCTTTTGAAATAATTTGAGTCGATAGATTTAGCAGAATAGGTAGTAATAAAGCAATAAATGTTATTGGAAAATAAGACGTGTGTTACTCGCACTCTCGTAAATCGACACGTCTCTCAATTGTAGCCCACACTTTTTTCTCTCAGCCGCGTTTGCGTGTGCGTTGCGATCAGCCTGCGATTCCGTGCAACATACACCTGCGAAAGAGCACACGATATGAAGAGACCGCTGAGATAATGTGCGGTGGGGTCACTGAACGAACGCGACGAGCGGTGGAGGAAAGAAGAGCGTGAATGTGGTACAATAAAAAGAAACAAACAGAGCAAAAAAAGAAAGGAAATAAAATTGTTTGAAAATACAAGCCACGTATGTTTATAGAACATTTTCTTCAAAAATTCACTTTTCAATTTTGTTTTTTCGGTGGGAATCTTTAAAAAACATGCAGACTTAGCTACGCATTTTGGGAATAAAAATAAAATAATGATCTGTATTCTCTCCAGAAATCTCAGGAAGTGAAATTTTTCCCGAAGTCGGAAGTAGAAAGTAGGAAGTAAAAATTGAAATAGGGAGTCTGAAGTCGGAATTCCTGAAAACTCTGATTCTCCCTACGGTTATCTAAATGTCTATAAAGTATGAATTTGGCTAGTTCTCAATCGTTGCGGAGCAATTTTCAGGGGAAAGTCGTTTGAAGCCATACTAAATTCTGTATAGTTTTGTATTCTTTCTACAAATTTCATGCATTATTTTTTCCATCTTTTTTACCTTTTTTTCTATTGTTCTCATCCACATTGCTCAGTCTTAACACCCTCGCTGTATTGTAATTTACACTCTTTGACGACAGGAGACGGTCGCCTGAGGCCGTACACCTTTTTTCTTTGTTCTCTCATTTGTTTATTTTTCACTATTCCAGTCATCACTAGTGTGTTGTAATGACCTTCTAAACTCTCCCCTATCGATTTATTCATATTTCCTCACATTTCTCACATGTGTTAGTCGTCCCCAGCGCACTATATGGTATTGATTGTGTCATTCTCTGCGCAACTGCCCGAACGACACCCTCTTCTTCTTTTTTGCCTCCTTTTTCTTGCCATTCTTCTCAAATGTTCCTAAATGCTACAAATCAATATTCTTATTTTGAAAATTTCAGACTATTGAAATTTCACCTTCCCATTACAAAAACGCAAAAATTGTATTTAAAAAAATGATAAACAGCTTAGAAAAATTGTTTCGCGCAAGACCTCCAATCAAGTTTTTCCTCGTGCGCATTTGACACAGCAAAATTTTGAAAAGCTAGGATCTTTTTTTAACACCTCTCTCTCCCTCTCTCTCTCTCTCTCTCTCTCTCTCTTTTTCTCTTTCTCTCTCTTTCTCTCTCTCCCACGTTCCGACAAATGCATTTTTTCAGAACATATCAACAATGGCAAGGAGAAACAGAAGAGAAGAGATGGATGTTCCATCACATCATCTAAATTATGCGGTGGACGCTTCGAGCTCTCACAATGATTGGCACACCGGACAACCAATTGATATGAGTAAGTTTTTATTCTGGAAAAAATTGAACATTCAAAGAGAACCCAATTTTCAGGTGAAGTGGGGCTCAGTCCAGCAGATCGAATCAAAGCTCTGTTTGAGCAAAGACAGCGCCACAGAAGAGGTTTTCCAACGAGAACTTCACTTCATTTGAAATTCCCGGAACAATGGCCGTATGGCCTACAGCAGGTTCACATAACCGGACGAGATCTCAAGATAAAGAAGATCGATAAGCTTCGAGAAGTTCGAATCAACCACACAGAAGCAATCATCGGCGAGGTTAAACAAACCCCAAGGAGAATCGATCCTGATTTGTTTGACCAAACCGTGAATGAAGTGAAGCAAAGGATTCATTCTATAGAAAGCGAGCCATGGATCCGTTCCGCCGTCTTCTATCCACTGGGACCAAAGAGCATCCTTCAAGCTCTAGATGGATGTCTTTTTGCACGAAAATATCGTCTACTCGTTGATTCAAACAACGCTCTGGCATATTTGTTAATGGAAAGTTTTGGCAATCCAGAGGACGATTCTGCAGAAATCGAAAGATTATTGAAGTTAAGCACCATCAAGCATGAAACCGAAATGGTTTCGACTCCAAACGCAGGATACAGTATGCTCTGCAAGTATGGAGAACAACCACAGTTCGTGACCACACCCAACAATTCCACCATCGCACTAGTCTTCGATTTGGAATATTTGAAAGAGAAACGCCACAACAGTCGAGCAGACCATTTAACTCCGGAAAAGTTCTACCAGGATCATTTTGGTTGCCCACTCCGTTTCACTCGTCGTCTCTCGGATCCTGAGAAGGAATGGCTTGAGAAGAAAGTGGAGATGTACAACTTCCGAGACCATCCACTCAGAATGCTGCAGTTCTATACTGTAGAGGATCGGAAAATGGCTGTGGAGCAGAATCGATTCGAGTTCTTAGATGCGTTGTTCTGTGATTCGATGTTCAACTATAAAGACCTCACGGAGAAACTTCACCTGTACGTCACCTATTCAATGGAGCCGAAACACGATGAATTGGTTCAAGTAACACTGTCTGCCGAATGTGACAAGATCATCGCTGAAGATGCGTTCGAGGCCCACTACCTGAGTTGTCGCTATTTCAACAATAAAAAAGTCGAAGATCTGATGCTGAGATACAATAGGAATCATAAAAAAGTGAGTTCATATTCAAATAATTCCCTTGTCTCATTTCAACTCGCTTTGCGGCTGAAAATTGAGGCGGAACTTAGGCACGGAAGCAAAACCTTTGAAGGAGCATGAATTCCTCGTAATGGTTTTGTTGCCAATGTTTTTGATTTTCTCATGAAATTGATAAAGTTAATATACAGTACCGGTCATTAAAACACAAAAAAACGAGTTTTTCAGTTGAGTTTGACCGTTTTCAGGAGTGTAGATCTCGGCTGTTAAATATCCGATTACTTTGAAAATATGGACGAGTGTAAAACAGGCCTTGATTGAAAACTGTGCATTTTTAGAACTTTTAAAAAATTCCCAGTTTTCCAGCTAGTTACCGATTTTTGAAGGACCGCAACACGTATTGATATGAGACCAAAATATTACTATTTTCAATGCTATAATTTTCTTATAATTCCAATTTCAGATTATTCTCAGCGGATTCCCAAAGCATCTGTCTACATTTGAGGGAAAGCGATGGTTAGTGGAGAGAATCACAAGCAGCAACAGTATCCGCTTGATCTCCATCGAACCATTCATCGAAACTGTTTATGGCGCCGAGCAAACGTTCTTAAGAGCAAGAAACAAGAAACTCAACGTTTGTATCGAGAAGGAAATTTACCGAATCGGTCATTGCCACAACATCTACCAGCCGATTTCGGGGGAGTGGAGATGGGACATGCAAAGAGCACTAGGAGCCCGAAATTTATTGAACACGGTGAAACAGAGAGGAGATGTCCCGTGGAAGATCTTCCGCAACAACCGTGGAGCAATGCATCATTTGGAAACATATACGGTACACTTCCATACTGTTCCAACCGGCTTGCGGTTTGTTGAACACATCCTCGACGAAGCTTCCAATTCGCCGCTGTTCTGGGCAGACAAATCGGATAAAAAAGGAGTAAGTTTATGATCAGTGAATTTTTTCTAGTTACGAATTTCAGCCAATGATTGTTCCCTGCTTCCGCAAGACCATCACCATCAGTCGAGTTCTTCGATATGCTCTTCGCCGAACAATCCGTTCTTACGATGGAGACATCCGACATACCTTTCCGTCTCTTTCGGAAAATGAGGATGTGATGATGGAATCACCGGAAGCGACTTATTACGGAGCCCGTCTATGCGAAGAATGGAGCATCGACAGCGAGACAGGCGTTCTCGAAGTTCAAGGATGGAATCCAGTTTCGGTCCGATTATTCATGAGAAAACTGCTCAATGCGATGGCTCCACTGGAGCTTGTGTCAATTCCGGCGTTTCCACCAGATGAGAATGCCCAACTATTCTTCGGCGTTGGAGAGAGATACGTGCGCAGCCTCCCGAAGAAGTACGATGGAAACGTGGTTGTTGATATCGATCAGTTCTCCCAAAATATTCGTTTATGGGGATTGGCTGCAGAGGAAGCTCTGGAAGATCTGAGAAACTATTCGGTCAACAAGTCTCACATCGTGATCGAAGTCGCCATTCCAGTGCACTTCCCTCACTTCAATGATCGCTTGAGAGATGTTTTGGATCGGAAAATAATTGATCACTTAAAAAGATCTTTGGATCTCAAGAAGTTGGAGGAGAGCAATGCAGGCAGTTTTTTGAGCTTCGAAGGAACCATCGAAGCCTATGAGAAGCTCATCGAAGGCTTGACGGAGTTGAGTGCAGCGGTTTTCGATAGAGAAATTGAAGGAAACGAAGATTTAGAAGGTAATCGTTTTATTTTTATAGATCTGGCTTAAAAAGTATTAGAGAAACGCCGGTGGCCGTAGCCAAAGGTTCCACAAGGACAACTACTGTTTAAAAAACCTGTATTAGAAGGGCCCTCTGAGAGGGACTTGAAAAAATAAAAGGGTCCTGTAATAAAAAGGCCCCTTTCAAAACGTGTTGTTTAAAATCATAAACTTCCGGACGTTTTTAGTGAAAAATATTCCGATATATATATATGTATAGATTTTTACGGACTTTATACGAGAATTCCTTGCATGCATTTTTCGATAAAAAATGTTAGGTAAAATGAACGGAAACATAGAAGGGCCCTTCGGGGGTTCTTTGGAACTATGAAAGACCGACCCTATACGGTATCTCAATTTTTGGTATCTCAATTTTACGGTATCTCAATTTTCGTGAGTTTTCATTAAATTTCTTCAGAATCAAAAATGTTCATTTTTTGACTTATTAGGGGAAAATTAACAATTAAAAATCAGTGATCATTTTTTTGAGAAAAATTGACTGGAAACCCACAAAAAAAAATCTTTGGTTAAGGTAGTTGTCGCTATTGAACCTTCGGCCACGTCCACAACATTTCTCTTTCCCACATCTCCGATTTTTTATACAAGCATAAAATTTGAAGCAAAATCATTAATTGGTATGTTTACAGAAAGCCAGAAAGAATACCAGTGCACATGCACAGGGTCGGAAATCGCCAGAAACAACAACTTTTATCGCCTCCATTGTGGTCATGTGTTTTGTCGCACATGCTTGAACCAGTGCATCAAAAGTAGCATCAACAATGCACAGCTTCTCATCGAGTGCCCGATCGATGCTTGCAAGAAGTTCATCACCCCAGCAGAACTAATAGTTTGTATCAAAAAATAATTCAAATTAAAATATAGTTTTCAATTCTAGGATCTGGTTCTCGGAGACGATAGGCGACTCAAGGATATTGATGCGGAAAAACTAAGCATCCTGGGGAACAAAACGAAAGATGCCGTCGTCGCAGCAAATCCAGAGTTGAAAAACTGCATCACAGCCGATTGCATTGGCATATACTCCAAGGAACAAGGAGACACCAAGATTCTCAAAAGATGCACCGCTTGCCGTCGTTCCTATTGCCGTCAGTGCCTTTCTGGAGCTCATGAAAGAAGAACATGTGAGAAAGCCCTGCGTGCCCAAATTCCAGAAGAATCTCTCAAAATGTGGATACATGAGGCTGGAGATCGAGTGAAGCATTGTCCAATCAAAGAATGCAGCTGGATGATGGAAAAGGGAGAAGGATGCAACCATATGCAATGCCCGAAATGCTCTATCCATTTCTGTTGGATCTGTGGATTCACTTCTGAAGAACAGGGACCTATTTACGGTCACATGATGAGTGATCATGAAGATATTGGGTTAGAAAATTATGTGAGTTTTTAATTGATTGTGACCACATATGCCAACTATGCTTTTAGAAAAAAAGGGGTCAGCAATTTAGAAAGAATAAAAACTCGAATATATTATTCTGGTACAAAAAAATAGGAGCTGTGAATGAGGAAAGCTTGTGGGCTTGGCTAATATTCTCACAACGAAAACCACCGAAACTTAAAATTTTCGGTCCATTTTTCTCGATTACAACTGATTTTCAACAACTCTCGTGTTGAAAATCTCTAGAACAGTCGGAAAATTGTTCTGGATGTAAAAATTACCAGAAAACGAGGAAAAATATCGAAGTAAATAATAATTGCTAACTACGGTAGTCAGGCCACGACCACGTACGCCAGATGCTCTATTTCACATCTCCGATTTTGCGTAGCAACAGAATAAGCAAGCTTTCAAAAAAAATTCCTTCATTTTTTAAAAATTTCATATGTATAGAATATCATATTCTATACTTTTCAAATCTCGTTGTTGACCGAATTTTTGCATTTGCGCGTCCACGTACCAGAAAGTGTTTGAAGACGAAGCGTATTTTAATATTTTGTGAATTTAAACGATTCTGAGTTTTAAATACTCACTGGCATGTTGACGCGCAAATGCACGAATCGGATCGACGGTGACCAATTTTCGACCGACCTAAACAGAAGCCTGATCAGACCATCTCAAACAGAAGCAAATTGGAAATTTGTATTTATAGTGGCAAGAACTCTACATTTTCAGGTTGTGGACGAAGATGAACAGATGCTGCAGGAACAGCTCATGGGACTATTCGTGGGCGGAAATATGGACAACGAAGCTCCGGATGGGAATGGAATGGATGAAGGAGAATTTCATGTCCAATTTGCAGAGCTGCTACAAAACCATGCCTTGAACCGACCGCCACCAAGAAGACCACGTCGACTAGAGCGTCTGCCAGATGTTGTGCTCGACAGTCACCCAAATCTGACGGAGGTGGACGAAGAAGTGTATCTTGACTACCTGAATATAGCTGCGACAAGAGAGGAGCAAGATGAGAGGATTCGAGAATTGGCAGAGGACATTCAAAATAGATAAACTCATTTGTGAATAGGTTTCATTTTTATAGTTTTAATGTTTTTTTAATCTCGTGCGTTGTTTAATGATTTTTGGTTATAAAACGGCTACTTTTTCATATCTTCTACAGAAATAGATTTTTGGGATTAACGTTGACGAATTGGGAGGCTTTCCATCAGAATGAGCCTCATTTTCCCATTTCAAGCCAATATATCTCAGTTGTCATGAAATTATTTTCAAAAGCTTGAGTTTCTAAAATAATTTCAAATTCAAATGAGCATCTTATCAGTTGACCACTTTTTTATCGTAAACAGAAAATGAGATTTTTGGGCTTGTAATTGACTTTTTGCGGCCGATCAATTTAGGTCGGAAGAATTTTTCCACTGAAAAAACGAAATGACAAATAAAGAAAGATATCAATTTTTTATTGATAAGAAAAATGATTTTTCATGGTCTGAGATCTATTTTGAATCGTTAGGAAGCTGAAATCCCTTGTCCTCCACGCCTTTCCATCGCTAGATCGGAACTCGTTGTTCTGGCAGTCGATGTCACCTTTGGTGAGAAAGAATAAGCGATTTAGTCTAAAGAAAATGTAGTTTAGCTCCTCCATTTCTAATGTTAATCAGAATTCATAAATTGTTCCCTTTTTCATGTATTGTTAATGATATTCCTTTACCTCTCCTAATTATACGGTGCTGTGTGGTGACTGTTTCCGCGTGGCACCGGAATCGCTATAAATAGGGGCCCGGCTTTTACTCATTTAGCTCTCGCTCTAGCTCGCTCTCTCTCTCAATATCTCTTATATCTCTCTTTTTATCCCTCTCTTATCATTGTGTCTTAATAAGTCTATCTAAAGAAAAGTCTTTTTCTTTTTAGTCGACGCATTTTCCTCTCTTTTTTTGGATGAATTGGAGAGTGGAATGTTGCGGTTGCGGGGTTTCTGAAAAGCATGGTCATAAATCATTCTAAAATCAAGAAAAAAAGGGGACCGCGGGGAAAAGTATGCCTAATGTAAACTAAAATTGACAGATTTTTTCAAGTTTCGCGGCTGTTGTCACTTAAAATTGCTCTTTAGGCATTTTTAACTTCTTACAGACCACTTAAATGTTTGTTTAAAAAGAACATAGTTTCACACGCCTTTCTTAAGACCCCACTCACCTTTATGAGCTCAGGGACATCACGATATTCGAGAAGTTTCCCAAAAAAAGAGAGGAAAATGCGTCGACTAAAAAGAAAAAGACTTTTCTTTAGATAGACTTATTAAGACACAATGATAAGAGAGGGATAAAAAGAGAGATATAAGAGATATTGAGAGAGAGAGCGAGCTAGAGCGAGAGCTAAATGAGTAAAAGCCGGGCCCCTATTTATAGCGATTCCGGTGCCACGCGGAAACAGTCACCACACAGCACCGTATAATTAGGAGAGGTAAAGGAATATCATTAACAATACATGAAAAAGGGAACAATTTATGAATTCTGATTAACATTAGAAATGGAGGAGCTAAACTACATTTTCTTTAGACTAAATCGCTTATTCTTTCTCACCAAAGGTGACATCGACTGCCAGAACAACGAGTTCCGATCTAGCGATGGAAAGGCGTGGAGGACAAGGGATTTCAGCTTCCTAACGATTCAAAATAGATCTCAGACCATGAAAAATCATTTTTCTTATCAATAAAAAATTGATATCTTTCTTTATTTGTCATTTCGTTTTTTCAGTGGAAAAATTCTTCCGA